GAAGTATTTTGGTGAAATGTTGCACTCCAAGGTGACCTGGAGGCCCACGTCTTGTATCAGATGTTGAAAGGGGCATTTGCCTAAAAGCAAGGTCTGTCAAGATGATGATGGTTATACTGCCCTGGGGAATTTAAGCTTTAGTGCTGTTATTGCAAAACTGACGTGATGGCAATGCGTGATACTAGCTAAAAACCTCGGGTAGAAGGTTCTGCTTCTTTCCTGTGTAAAGGCCTTGGTTGTAGTTTTACAGACTTGAGCTTATTAGGCTTTTTATTAATCCAGTTCTGGGTGGGATACATGTGTTAATTCTGATCCTAGATTCAATCGTCTTCAGTTCAAAGCCTTTGAAGTAGGTGTAGCCCTGTATGTATGTAGTCACTGTTGTCACACAAAAGCGTCTGCAAAGCAAAGGCTTCTGGAGACCCGTTTCACAGGGAGGCATCCTGATTTAATGCATTGTGGAATTTGCTCCCAAGCATGATGCTGCTTATCCTGTGAATGTGTGATGGTAGTTTATGGTGTTACTCGGACCTGACCGCACTTCTGCTCCCAGCAGTCAGATATGCAGCTTTGCTTATCATCTGTAAGACTTGAAGGATGGGGAGAAGGAAAGCCTTTCTATGAGCACAAGTTCCTGTGCACAAGGAAAAGACTTTATGTGGGTCAGTTACGAAGAGTGCTAGGTGGGCTTAAATATATGGTTTAATCTCACAGGGGTTTTTGTTTGGGTGGGTTTGTTTTTTTTTTTTGATAGGGCTGCTGTAAGGACCCTGATCTTGCTTGCTTGAGGCCTCTGCAAACTGAATGTCTATTCAGAATCTTAAATAAATAAAACCCCTGCTCTCCTTTCTGAAGGAACGGATCTTTTTTTTTCTTTTTTCCTGAAGAACTGAAGTGCTCAGCAAAGAGATGCACAAGAGTCCGCTCGGTCCTGCTGACACCTCTGGGGTTTCTGGTGCGACACCCTTTGTGGAAAGCCTGAGCAAAGCGTGGGGGTTTTGCCTCTGAGTCACTTGGCAGCGCAGCTGAAGCTGAGTAGGCAGATGCCTTACTGGGACAGAGGTCCGAAGGGGAGAAGCTGTGTCAGCTCTGCCGCGTTCCTACCAAATCAGCGCTCACGTGCCTTTATCTCCATTGTGTTCCCGAGGTGACCCTGTTATGGGAAACACTTGCTACCATGTGAAACTGGTGAGAAGCTGTAAGGTTTAGCTTGGGTCAAATGCTTGCTGAAGCGTCTTAAACATCCACTGGTTTGTCTCAGCATCCGCAGCACAAAGCTGGGAGTCTCTGGTGTCCCCTGGGTTTGAAAAGCAGCACTTGTACGTGCTATGAAAGGTGGCAACCACAGCCATTACTTAGCAGACATAATTCCTGGCCCTTGGGTTAGACAGACAGCTTCCAACACGCGGAATGCAAGGTACGGAGTAAGTAACGAATAACACTATCGGCCACGCTACGACACTAGCTTCTTAACTTTTTATTTTTTCCCCCCTCCCTTTCAGCAGAGGCAGTGAAAGAGCTTCCCAACCCCTCGCACGGGCTGTGCGTGAGCGTGTCCTCCACCTGCTGCTGGAGAGGGCGTCCGTCTGTCCCAGCGCTGCACTTCACTTCCAGCACAGACACCCCCCCTCTCTGCCCCGTCCTCTCCTGTACCGGAGGTGTCCCGGCGGTGCATCCCCTGCCCTCCTCCATGCTCCCGCCTTGCCCTCCCCGCACCGCTGCCCCGCGGGACTAGGACATGTCTGCTCCGCCCAGTCCCGCCACTACAGGCCCGGCCCCGGCCCGGCCCTGGCCCCGCCCCCGGGGCGGGGCGTTCTCCAGCTGACCGGCGGGGGGGGCCGCCGCGCTCATGTGACGCCGCCGCGGAGCCGCCGCCGCCGTTCCCGGTCTTGCCGCCGCCATGGTGCTGTCGCCGCTCGCCCTGCTCCTGGCGCTGGGCGCCACCGCCCTGGCCGAGCCCCTCCGCTTCGTCGACTGCGGTGAGTGGTGCGGGGCGGCAGGAGGCAGCGGAGCGGGCGGGCGGACGGACGCGGGGCGGGGGGGGGTCAGCGGGCGGAGAAGGCCCGGTAAAGCCGGCTCTTCCTTGCAGGTTCCAAAGACGGCAGCATCCAAGAGGTGAACGTGAGCCCCTGCCCCACGCAGCCCTGCCAGCTCCACAAGGGGACATCCTACAGCATCAACGTCACCTTTGCCAGCAGTAAGTATCACGTCCACAGCTGAGGTGCGGGGGCGGGGGGCGGTCACCTCTGTGTCCCACTGCGTGGAGAGGAGTGGGGAAGGGTGGCTGGAAGGGGTCTGGGTGGGAAGAAGTGGCCGGGGAGAAAGAACACTGCTTAGTCGTGTTCTCACAGCCTCCAGGGTATGTCAAGGAGCCGGGTGTAAGGTAGAAATGCGTTCTGTGCTCCGGTGCTGTGCTCATGCTTCTCCGTGTTCTGCAGAGATCGAGAGTCAGGGCAGCAAAGCGAGGGTGTATGGCGAGATGCTGCACGTGGACATACCCTTCCCCATTCCTGAGCCTGACGGATGCAAGTCCGGGATCCAGTGCCCCATTCAGAAGGGCCATTCCTACAGCTACCTGAATAAACTCCCAGTGAAGAGCGAGTACCCCAGTGTAAGTAAGCAGCTGCTCTGTTCCTCAGAGCTACTGCCCTTCCTCAGGCAGTCCCACCACCTGCCTTTAAGGAAGGACACCCTGTCCTGTGGTGGTGGGTAAGAGGTTAGAAGACTTCTCAAACTATCTGGTAGCGCTTCTGCTGTGAGTACGACTCTGTCTCAAGTTCCTGCTTTGGGACAGACCCAGCAGCCTGGCTCCAGCTGCTGAGAAGAAGCTTCAGCTGCCCAAGTATCTGCCTGTTCTGTACCATGCTCGTATATAGCCTCCCTGCAGAGCCTGCTGCATTCAGCTAAATGCTCCCAAACTGGGGATGCTTGGCTCCAGGGTGCAGTTCAGCTGGGAGGCTGCAGGGTGTTTCCACTCTGCTTACTCAGAGAGCGGGGATCTGAGTGCAGTGTGTGGAGGTCTCCTGCGTCACGCAACTGAACCCTCTGTTCATGTACAATTCTCCAGGAGTCACCACATGAGTGTGGCCCATCTCTTGCAGCAGGGGCAATGCCCCAGCTCTGTCCTCTTTGCACAGAGCTCCACACAAGTGATAACTCCCCTCCCCGTGGTCTTGTCTTATGGTTTCCTGAACACTCATTTCGCTCTGCTCTTCTCTTCCTTTCAGATTAAACTGATTGTGAAATGGGAGCTGGTGGATGACCAGGACCAGATGTTGTTCTGCTGGAAGATACCAGTGCAGATCACCAGCTGAGGAGCCCTGCCATTAGCAGGGCTCGGGGAGGGGAAAAACAGAAGACAACACAGGCCAAATTCTTTTATATAATAAGCATTTCTTACTGCTTCCTTCAGAGCTCTGCAGCCTCTGAGCAGCCAGTACTGTGTTCCTGCAAGGTCAGCTGTGGGCAGAGGGCTCTTGCCCCATTAGAGCCCTCTGGGGTGTTCTCACAGCAGCTCGAGGGGGAGCAGTGTCTGCTGCAGGAGTGACTGAGCATCGTCTTCCAGCTGCTCTGCGGAGGCACTTTAGTTGTTTGAAATGGAGCTGTCTGTCCTCACAACGGAATTTGTCTGCAATGAACCTGGCTGCTACCTGGTAACCTTTCAGTGCCTCTTCTAGAACGCTGGCTGCATCCACCTTCCTGCGCTTCTCCTGCTCCGTCGTGACCGGGATGCCCCTGGGACCTGCGTTTTCCATCCATGCAGCTGAAGGAGAAGGGAGGGAGGGAGGCTTTCCCTGAGCTGGCAGCGTGCTCTGTCCTGGGGCCCTGCTCGAGGCAGCAGGACTGCAGCTGGGAAAACTTCCTTTTTGTGGATGCAAAGCCAAATGGCGTTTGTCTCTGCAGGGATGATTCTTTCTCTAACCGACGGTTTGCACTACTACTAACTTGGAGCTCCTGGGAGCCCCTGAACCTCTTTTTATAACTTTCCTTTTAATAAAGGCTCGACAAAATCTGCCTGTGTTGGCTTCTGTGAGCAGAGATGAGCAGGTGGAAAAGCAGAGTGGCTTTGTGTCTTCTAGTTGGGGTTGGGGCTGCTCTTACTTCTCAGCTGAAGGCATGGATGGAGGTGGTGTGCTGGCCTGAGTGTGGGTGACCTGCAAGCAGCCAGGCATCTCTGCTGGCTGCCAGGGTGTCCGGCTCGCAATGTCTGCCTGTGCTCCTGCCTTGCTGGTCCTGTGCTGGCTTGAAATTGTGCAAAGACTCCCTGAGGAGATGGTGGTGTAGGACATGGCCTTGCTTGCTGTGGCATAGGTGAGAGCCTTTCTCACTAGGGCTCTGGGGCTGGAAAAGCAGCTCAAGGGCTCTTGCCAACTGCAGAAACCTATATGCTCTCACATTTAACCTGCAGCCCACTCTGTGTGTGAACAAGGCAGGGTGTGAGCAGCCACAACAGCGGTGCTGTCTGAGGGGGCTGGAGTTGGCTCCTGCGGCTGGCACTGGTCTGGGGAGATAAGCAAGTATTTGGCCTGGCAAAGGGTCTCTGCTCTGGCTCAGGAGCAGGAAGAGGTTGGGTGCCAGCATGAGAGGGTAAGAATTGGCTTAAGAGAGGCCTTGCCAGACTGGCAAGGGAGGAGGTATACACGGGGAGGATGTGGCTTTGGTATCGCTTGGTAGAGGCAAGACAAGCACAGTTCTGACCGGCCCCAGTGTCTTGAGCCACAGGGGCCCGAAATAAATGTTTTATTTAACAACATGAGAGAAGTTTCCAGCAGACTCGGTTTTAAAAAAAAAAAAAAAGTCACCAACAACTTTACAGAAAGGAAGCTGCACCTGTCCCCTCGCCCAGCCAGTGCGGGGCATGAAGGCAGAGTGCAGGGCTGAGGGATGCACCTGGGCTGGCTGCAGGGAGAGCTGGCTCAGGGGCCCCTCCGGCCTCTCCACCACAACCCAAGGTTAGGCAGCAGCTTTAGAAAGCTGGGGTTGACCCCCCACCTTGCCCTTCAAAGCTCTGGCCTGAAGGCTGGATGCTTCACGAGGAGCGGGGCCAGCACCCGCGGCGTGGGTGAGGCTTGTCGCTAGGTCAGTGCAGCAGTGGCAGGGAGATGAACCCCCTTTCTCAGCAGAGCGAGGGGGCAGAGGCTGGGGCTGCATGGCAGAGGAGTGTGTCCCGTGTGTCTCCGGGGCACGGGGCGATGTGACGGGTGCTGGGGGCCAGGGTGGGCTCCGCTGCCGCAGG